GGTCTGTTTCAGCAACGGCTGAATCAGGACGCCTGGGGCAGAGCAGCTGGGGTGCTGGTGTATTGGTCCAGTAGTGCCGAGGAGCGGTGCTACTGGAGCAACCCAGCAGCACCCCAGCTGCTCTGCCTCAGGCGTCCCCAAGTCAGCCCGCTGCTGAAATTGACCAGCGCTGACTACAGGAAGCCCGAGGCAGAGTTGCTCTGCCCCGGGCTTCCTGGAATCAGCTGCTGATCAGTTTCTGCAGCAGCTGACTTGGGGACGCCTGGGGTTCTTAAGTTGAATCTGTATGTAAGTCGGAACTGGTGTCCAGATTCAGCCGCTGTTGAAACTGATCAGTTTCAGCAGTGGCTGAATCTGGATGCCAGTTCCGACTTACATACAGATTCAACTTAAGAACAAACCTACAGTCCCTATCTTGAACGTAACCCAGGGACTGCCTGTACTTTTATTCAGTCTCCATGAAAAACACATAATTGATGCCCATAATGTGTGGAGACATGTTTGGAAAAATCACAGATTTCTATTGCATTTTAGATTTGCATATAGAACTTTCAGAGGTTTAGTTAGCTGTTCAAAGAGTAGCGAATGGTTGAAGTTGAACAGTTTGTGTATAATACTAGAATACAGAAGCACATCTTCAGGAGGAGAAAATGCCAGCACAGCTGCAAAACACTCCTAGGGAAGTTAATGATGGACATGACTTGTTGAGAAGGCTCTGCTCTGCTTCTCAGTTGAGGCATGGGATTGTTCCTGGATCTAGCTTTCTCCTCATGTCCACATAATAGGCTCAGGGTAGGAATGCTCAATAGGGGGATAGCTCCTCCCAAATGTCAGTTACCCAAAAGGCACAGGAGAAAGAGGAAGGAGGCAGGGCTGTGGCCTCACTCAACTTCTGACTCTGTGCACCTGTTCATTCACTAGCTCATTCCCTGCAGAGAAGGGAATACATTGCACCATGCCAAGAACTGTGCAAGTTCCCTCTGACATAGGGAAGCCAGGTGACAAAAGGGAATTGCACCCTAAAGATCAGCCTCTGAGAGCTCTGTGTTGTACCCTATACTCTCAGTTATGGCTAAATGTTACAATTCAGCTCTATATGTACATGTGGGACAAGGATCTAACACCTAGACCGTGACAATACTAATAGTAGAATGAATTAATCATTTTTACATTTTAAACTGATTAAATAGTATCTGTCATCAGCTATATGGCTCAGACATATGAATACAAAGAAAATGAAGAAACATACCCTTGCAGAGAATTCACATTAGTTATAAAATAAAGCCACAGGTAGGTCAACTATCTGATTGATTATTGGTCTGGGAAGATCAACAGAAGCCTATGAGCAAATACTATGGAAAGTCAAGGTAAGATGGGTCTCAAGATCAAAATGAAATATGCAGTAAAAACTGACAAAGTAAAATCGAAATGGACACAGTATTCAGAAGAGGGAGAAATTAGCAGATGTGTGTGACATGAGCATGAAGTAGAGAGATTTTACCCCAAAATGAAGTGATGACAGCATCACAAATTAAGATAATACACAAACACACAATAACTTCAAATAAACATGCAAATAAAAATAGGCTTTTTGGGAGGGGTGTATGTGTAAAAACAGTTTCGCAAATTTACCTTACCTGTAGAAAAGTTTGGGCCCACAACCGAGATCTGATTTTTAGTGCTTCCACTGTACATGAGATCATTAAACACTTCACATTTGTACAGTTCTGTAAAAAACAAAATTAAATTATAACTATGCTTTTGTAACAAAGCTAATGTAAGAATACGAACATGTAATTATACATAGTTTTAATTACTCAACTGTTCTAAATTGAAAAAATTCTCAACCATTTCTTAATGTAGTAAATATCATGCATCTTCTAGAATTTAATTTAATACAAATATACAACAGAAGAACTCAGAAGTGGCCCACATGTGAGAAATGAATAATCATAATGGGTACTCTTCTAAGATGCCTATGAATACAATCCTCTACATGTATCAGTGATGACAAATCAAATAGCATTCACCAGTCTGATTTGAAGAATTCTTAAACGGTCCAACTGCTTAACAAAATCTTGTTTATTCTTCTTTTTCCTTTCAATCCCTCTAGCCAGTTCCTCATTTCTCTGACCTCTACACTCCATATTTACCCTCTCAAAACTTCCCTTCCTTCTTTACCACTCGTAATTTTCCTGGGGACATTTACAACATAAAGTCAACATGGTTGATGGGCTTCCTTAGCAGCTCTATTTGAACCTTATGTTCTGTGAAGCTTTGCTGGTGAGGAATGGTCTTGGATGGAGAAAGACCAGAAAACACACACATAAATATAACAGCCAACTGGCCCTACCCAAAACTATAGAACTGCTGGTGTCCGGAATGAAAATGTCACCAGCCAAGGTAAGGAGCTGGTTGGAAGTCACAGACAGGGATGAAGAGCTGGAGAAGGGGATCTATTCGGGAAATCAATTGGAAAAAAATTGAGATGCACTGGCAAATGGAATGGAAGGCAGCTTACAGGGAGAGGGAACCAAAAACCAAGGGTCTGTTGAGGTCAGAGAGAACATCTGGGGTACTTATCCAAGGGGATCTAAACCTAAGGATAGGCCTATACAGCATCCTGGAGCGTGTGGGAGCAAGCTTTCCAGCCTGGGTTGATACATGTGGGCTAGCAGGGTTCACACTAGCCCTCTAAAAAGATCTGCACAGATAGCCCTTGAAGTTGTGGCTTGACTTGGAACTCAGATCTGAAGCTTAGAAGGGAGGATGGGTCCAAAATCCTGTGCAGATCATAGAATCATAGTACCATAGAGCTGGAAGAGACCTCAAAAGGTCATCAAGTCCAGCCCCCTGCTGTAGGCAGGACTAATCCCAACTATATCAACCCAGCCAGGGCTTTGTCAAGCCGAGACTTAAACACCTCTAGGGATGGAGACTCCACTACTTCCCTGGGTAACCCATTCCAGTGCTTCACTACCCTCCTAGTGAAATAGTTTTTCCTAATATCCAACCTGGACCTCGCCCACCACAACTTGAGACCATTGCTACTTGTTCTGCCATCTGTCACTACTGAGAACAGACCTTTCTCCATCCTCTTTGGAAGCTCCCTTCAGGAAGTTGAAGGCTGCTATCTAATCCCCCCCCCCCCCCCCCCTTTCCATAAGTCATATGCTCCAGCCCCCTAATAATTTTGGTTGCCCTCCGCTAGACCCTCTCCAATGCGTCCACATCCTTTTTGTAGTGGGGGTCCAAAACTGGACACAATACTCCAGATGTGGCCTCACCAAAGCCGAATAAAAGGGAATAATGACATCTCTGGATCTGCTGGCAATGCTCCTCTTAATGCAACCTAATATGCCATTAGCCTTCTTGGCTACAAGGGCACACTGTTGACTCATATCCAGCTTCTCATCCACTGTAAATCATATCCAGCTTCTCATCCGCAGTAAACCCCAGGTCCTTTTCTGCAGAACTACTACTTAACTGGTCGGTCCCAAGCTTATAACAATGCTTGGGATTCTTCCGTCCCAAGTGCAGGACTCTGCACTTGTCCTTGTTGAACCTCATCAGATTTCTTGTGGCCCGATCCTCCAATTTGTCTAAGTCATTCTGGACCCTATCTCTGCCCTCAAGCATATCTTCTTCTCCCCCTAGTTTGGTGTCATCCGCAAACTTGTGGAGGGTGTATTCTATTCCCTCATCCAGGTAATTAATAAAGATATTGAACAAAACCAGTCCTAGAACCGAACCTTGGGGCACTCCGCTAGAAACCAACCACCATCCTGACATT